ATATCCAATAAATTTCGTTCCACTTCATGATTGTGTCCCACTTGTTGTTGATTCTTCGCAAAAAATTACAGTTTTATATCTTTATGTTTGAAGCCTGAAATGTGGCAAAAGGTCGCAAAGTTCAAGGGGGCCGAATACTTTCGCAAGGCACTGTATCATGGCAGCAGGTGATTAGGGTTATTTGTTTTAATTCTTTGCCTGGTCCATTTGTTATTCACCCTTTTAGCAGCTTTCACTCGTGCCTGACTTTTCTGTCTTTCTCTCTTCTTGCTTTGGAGGCTGTGCTACATACCTTTTTGTGGTCATAAAAATAAACTGGAAGGTCTCATTTTGTTTCCATGCTATTCAGTTGGAAATAAAGTGCTTAAAACCCAATAGGGTATGTTTTCTGATCTATTTTATTTGGGCCTTTGTGGACTGGCCGTACAGTACATTGTGCCACCGCCTCACTCCACTTGTGACTCATACTGTGGTCAAATGGTTAGGGTCACTGACATGAAATAAAATGAAACAAGTGTAAACACAGATCATCACTCTGCAGGGAAAGTGGACTGTCTGTTTTTATAGTAGGCAGTGGTTGATCATGAGTGCATGTGCCATTCCACATCTCCTAAAGCTGTATGTTTTATTTGATACTGTATAATGCTGCTGACCCGAGGGAGATGGTTACATGGTCCCAGGTTCAGGTTGATTCAGATAACTTTTAAATATTTTTTAACCTAATCAAAACCAGGCAGATGTTTTTTTATTTTCTCCAGGACTGTAAATGGCTCTGTCTTGTGTCTCATCACCTGATAAGACAGATGGACTTTGGTCACAACATTTCGCCTGAACTCACCTGACAGGAAAAATATGAAGGCAATGGAATGATGACATGGATGTCAGCGATTAAAAAAGCTTCTGAGGGGAATAATGAGAATATCCTCCAAGAAATGTGTTTTCTTCCTGTTGGGAATCTTCAGTTTCATCATCTGTGCAGTTTTATACAGACAATACAGAAACCTGACCACCAACAGGTAGGTGAACTGAAATCACCTGGTCATGTTTGGGTGCAGGACAAATTCAGGTCACTTGCTGCTCCAGGGTCAGGGGGGATCTTAATGTAAAACTAGTACAGGCAACTTATCAGATATTACACTAATACACATTGTATACACTAGCTGGAAAAGGCTGTTTATCAGTGGAGTTATTGTAAAATAAATGATAAAAGGTTTTGGAAAGTTAGTTAAATGCACTGTAGGCTGCTTAAATTAGTTTATTTCAGGTATTTGTGCACAGCCACTAATATTCAAGTCCATGTGTTTGATGCAGGGCTTTAGCCAGAGTTTCAGTTTAAGTTGCCCACCTTTAATTTTATTGGCAGAAAAGATTTTAATTTTAGACTGTGTACTGCAGTAATCCAACTGTGTTTGATATTCTCGTATAAACAGGTCAGTGTAATTCAAAGTGTTTACAGATGACTGAGTCTGATAAAAACAGTACACATGTAAACTATCTGAAACTAATGCACATGATAAATAAAGATCACGACAATATACAGAACAGTAATAATAAAACATAATAAACAAATAATTAAAGCCTCATTGAGAGGTGTGACCTAGAAAAGGTTGTCCAACTAAAAAAACTAGAGGGATAAAATAATATCTCATTTTATATTGTAGATATTTTTTGTGTTATAATACATTATCATGCAACACTTTATTATCACATTATTCAGTATATTATTAATACAGACAAAGGTACAATATATATAAATGCCGTTCATTTTCTACTCTATTTTAAGTATTTATAGTAGTATGTATCACAAATATTATGTGCATATGTACAAAAGAAAACAGCAGTAGGTTTCAGAGAAGTCTCATACTACAGGGTGGGCCACAGAAAGGTAGCCCCACAAGATCAATGAGCAAGTGGATTGTTTTGGAGGCGGGCTACTTTTCCATGGCCCACATGGTATAACCATACCACTCTGTTGCACAGTTAGTTTTATGTAACACTGGTCAGGTGTAGTTTTTTTAAATAATTGATTTCTTGGGCTTCACATGCCTTTATTAGATAGTGCTGGTAAAAAAGACAGCAGAAGATGGGGAAGGGGAGAGATGCAACAGAAGTCCCTGGCTATATTCAAAACAGGGGTGTTGCTGTTCATGATTTACCACACAGTCACATTGGCACCCCCACTTCACCCCTATTTTTAATTTTCTCATGTGCATTATTTTCCTCACTTTGCTTAGCATTATGCATAGATCGATAAACTGACCATGCTATTATCAGCTTATTGCAGATGCAGTAGCCTATAGACTATCACTCTAATTCATATATTAGCCTATTAGTGTTTCCAAGTAGCAAGATGCCACCCTATGTTTGACGTCATTTAGTAGAGCTGTAACAAAATCATTTTTACACTCTAAAATATTCTGCTCAGTGTGTTCCTTGCTTACAGTTCTTTAAAAACATCTCAGGGATCCATAACAGAATTGTTTCTTTATGTTATATGTCAGCCAATATTGTCCTACAGTATTTTATTGTATTTTTTCAACTCTCAAATATTGACCTCAGTATTACCAACTCAGTTTCAACAGTACACTGTATTATGGCTTTGTCGGCCCATGGCGTGTCACGATAACTCATCAAATATTGTAACATTGTTCTGGATTGAAAACTGAAAAGCAGTTTAAAACATCATGTTGGACACTATCTCTGGTTCTCTGCATGAAAATCTGGTGTTTGTTTATAGACCTATGTTTTGCTGAGACCAGGCTGACATGACCCTAAAAAACAGCCACGGCTGTAGTAAGCAAATGCTGCTGTAGCGGTATGATTATGTTGTGATGTCAGTGAGCAGGCAGCAGGTGGCAGCAGTGATACTCCAGGTGAAGATTAGGTGGACTGGGGAATCATGCCAGCAGCTCAGCAAAAAGAAGAAACTGTGAGTTTTCCAGCTGCAGGTGCAGCTGCTTTCGTTGCATCCAGCTGATAATCACCTTCACAATAGTGAAACTCATTCACTTTTTAAGATAGAAAGCGTGTTAAAGGTCACTCAGAGCAAATAAAGGTTTGCTGATTCTGCTGTGGTTTTTGTAGTAATTCATCAGCTTCCTTAAAATTTATGTTTTCTGTATGTGTGCTCTGTTTTATATCTGTTTGTCTGCAGATAGAGGCTTCATGTTCTCTGAGGAAGGCTGTGAGGAATGATCCTCTCCTCAGAACGAAGTTCAGGTTCTCGGTGCCGGTCCTTCAGTGGGCAGGAAGTTTCTCCAGATCCGCTTGGGAGCAGCTGAAGAACCAGACACCTCCGTATGGATGGAAGGGACTTCCTGTTAATGGTATGGCCCACCGCTCATTCGTCATATGTGGATAGCTGAGTTGTCCAGATCTGACTTGATTTTTTTGACATGTCTGTTTGACATGTTGGTTGAGTCTGGTTTTCTATTATTTTTGTTTTGGTTCTTCAAAACTGGAACTGTTGTCAAAACAATAAGACCCTAAACCCAAACCTGCAACAGTGCAGCTTATTGACTGTCAGCTGGACATCAACTTGCAAAACCTGAAAACATAGGCTAGTCAATTCACTCATAATAAAAGACCAATTAGATTCAGATTTTTAGTGCAAATACTGTCAGATTTATTACACATAACAATTTGCATTTGCAAATGCATGTACACATTTGTAGATTTGTGTATATATTTGCAGCTTCATCTACACATCTTATGCAGACTCCTGTACATATTCACAAATCTTAGTACACACATAGTATACATATACTGTAGTTTCACAACACATAAACCAGGGCCCGGATCTTTGACCTACAAACAGACATCATCATGTCATCAGAGGCAGAATGATTTCTCATAGGTGTAGGTGAGTAATGGTTCTCTTCTGTTCCTCTTTCCTCTGCAGTTGTTGGCTTGACCTTGTCCCTCCTCAACAGCTCTCATCTCTTTGGGCGTGGCTTACCTGACAGGTGCGTTCGCTGTGCTGTGGTGGGAAACGGTGGCATCCTCCGAGGATCCCAACAGGGGAAGAACATTGACAGCCATGACTTTGTCTTCAGGTGAGACTGAGGACACCTGAGTGGACAGTGTGACAGTCTCTCATCAGGCAGGGAATATCACTGCTAGCTTTTAGTCTCCATATTTAGCATTTATCAGGGGTTAATAAATGGTTTGTACCACTCTATAATGTACTATAAGCAGATACAAGGATATTTTAAGTGCTTTTTAATGTGCAGTATTTTCTGACACATACAGCTTTTTAAAAATATTATTACTGCTGTGCTTTAATATATTGTCACTCATGACAACATAGTCATGAATGATCGTTTTATAGATATGCTCTTGTAGTACTGCTGGGGACCACACATGGGGATGTGGTCATGAAAAAATAGGTGATTAAATTCTGGAAAAAATGTCCCATATGTCCTTGGTCCTCCTCAGGATGAATGGAGCCGTGATCAGAGGTTTTGAAGGGGATGTGGGGAGGAAGATTTCCTTTTACGGTTTCACTACAAACACCATGAAGAACGCGCTCAGAATGTACGGAACAGACGGCTTCACTGAGATCCCTCAGAGCCCGGTGAGAGATGTTGAGAGAAACAAACCTTTGAGGAAGTTTATTCTCAGTTTCTGGGTTTATTTCTTTGTTAATGTGTCATTGTCTCCTTCTTGTGTAGGACATAAAATACATCTTCATCCCATCAGACCTCAGAGATTATGTGATGATGGCAGCTGCTGTTCAGGGTAGGATTGTCGTCTCAGGCAGAGACAAAGGGGACAGGTGAGGCCTTTCAATAGTTTGGGCAAGTAGACACAGATCAGTATTAACCAGCATTAAAAACTCAACATATAGATTATTACTGGCCATTGCTGAGTACAAGGCAACAGGCTGAAAAGTGAGACTAAAGAAGGCTAAAAACAGCATTTACAGCCTGATCAATCATAATCACTCTTCAGTTGATCAGTCAGTCTGCAGTCTGTCTAATATAGAGGTCAGAAAACTGTGCTTATATCCAGAGTGGATATTTTCCCTTAAACCTTCTTATGTGTATATACATAAAAAAATGTATTTCTTCCACTTTGCCATCTGCTTTGTAGCTCCATTCATGGCCTGTAGATGGCAGTGAAACCCTTTTTAAGCTTCAACAGATCTCAATGATCATGAAAAGACTTTTCATTTTAGGATAAGTTGTCTTCTGCTTCTTCTTCTTTTTCTTTTTCTGGTCATTACTATTATTCTCTTAATTCTTTGGCTGGCTGTAATTATTTTTTATTCATATTTTATGTCTTATCCAATAGACCCTGGAAGTATTTTGGCCACAAACAATCTGAGAACTTCAAGATTCTCCACCCAGATTTTATTTCCTATGTGACACACAGGTGAAGCACCACAAGCACGTGTATTTTTAATTTAAGTCAGTTTTTAAAAATGAACAGACTGCTCTGAATATAAGACAAGATGTTGTGGATGGTCAGATACAAAGGCTGAGCTTTGTCTCTATACCTTTGTCAATTTCTCAGCTTCCTTCAGTCTCCTCTACTGAACAGCGAATGGACGCATCACCTGTACATGCCGAGCACTGGAGCTCTAATGCTGCTGACTGCCTTACATACCTGTGACCAGGTAACTAACACACACACACACACAGTGTGTAAACAGTGGATGTATAAGTTGCTTGATGCTTATAAAAAGGGTCAGTGTAAGCCATCATTACATTTCCCTTGAATGACTGAAGGACATCCTATTTGTCTATCCTGGAGGTTTCAGCTTACGGCTTCATCACCAGGAACTATGCAGCATTCTCTGATCATTACTACGACTCCATGGGGAGGCCTCTGATGTTCTTTGCCAACCATGACCTGCAGATGGAGAGCCAGCTGTGGGAGGCGCTGCACCTCC